TGGCCTTAATGGCTAAGGAGTTGTACTGCCAACCCAAAGTCAGGCAGTTCCAGCCCACCAGCTGCTCTGTGTGAGAAAGCTAGGCAGTCTCCTCCTGTGCTATTTACAGTCTGAAAAACCACTGGACAATCAGTTGTGGGTCTGTTGTGACTCAACGGCACACAACAACAAGAATTTCTCATTTCTTTTTTAAAAATTCTTCCCCCCTTTTAATAATTTTTAAAATTAATTTTAGTGAAAAGTTAGAGATTTTGGATTTCCATTCATTCATTGTTGCACTTTTCTTCCTGCCTATCCATCCCCCAGCAGTTCGCTCTTCTCTTTGAAAAGTAAAAGAAAAATTCTTTCATTTTTCATACAATCCCTCCCCTCCAAGTCTGCTCCACTGTGAAGCCTTCGTTTTGGACTCCTGTCATGACAATAATACCTAATCACATATCCCTCTTAAACAGTTCTCTCCCTCATCTGTTTATCTGTTTCAATGCAATATACATTTTTTATCCCATCTTTCTCAGTCTCCTCCCAACACCGATGTCAGTCTCATTTTGCAACAGTGGCACCATGCACTATTTGTCCTTTGTGACTGAGATATTTCACTTAGCATAATGTCCTCCAGGGTCACCCATTTTGAATAATATTGCATGAGTTCTTGTTTTTCAATGCAGCGTAGTATTCCATTGTGTGAATATACCACAGCTTCTCTATCCATTCATTTGTTGATGGGTACTTAGGTTGTTTCCAACTCCTTGCTATCATGAACAAAGCTGCGATAAACATGGGTGTGCATATATCTGCATGGGTGGCAGTTATGGTCTCTTTGGGGTATATTCCCAGTAATGGAATTACTGGGTCATATGGTATCTCTATTTGCAACTCTTTGAGAAAGCGCCACACTGCTTTCCACAGTGGCTGTACCATTTTACACTCCCACCAACAGTGAATAAGGGTTCCAGTTTCTCCACAACCTCGCCAGAATTTGTTGCTTTGTTGTTTTGTTAAATTTTGCTATTCTGACTGGGGTGAGATGATATAGTTTTTTTTTTTTTTAATTTCTCATGTCTTAAGACTCGTTAAAAAAGAGACACAGTTGAAATGTCAAGAAAAAAATGTATTATGGTTTACATGAAAGATACTACAACAAATTAGTTTTCCATCCACCAATTCACAGATTTTGTTTCGTGACATTACTTGTAGTCCCCACAATGCACCAACAGGCTTCCCACTTCGCCCCTCGGTTTCTCGTTGCCATTCTCCTTCCTTATTTCTTCTTGTCCTCTGAGTTTCTCCCTGGGAAAAACAATGCCTTTTGGTCTTTGGGGGTTGACTGTTCTCAGGCTTGTGTACCCTCTCTGATGTCACAGATCACCTATACAATGTCCAATGGGAAACAAAAATTCCCCTCCACCCTCCTACACCAATAGGCAACATCATGACAGATGGGAAAAAAGACTGAAATGGTCAACAACTTCATCTTACTTAGGTCCACAATCAATACACTTGCTACCAGCAGTCAGGAGGTCAGGAGACATACTGCATTGGTAAGTCTGCAGACAAGGACCTATGCAAATTACTGAGGAGTAATGATGTTAGTCTGAGGACTAAGGTGCACCTGATTCAGGCCATGGTCTTTTCAATTATTTGCTATGCATCTGAGAGCTGGCCAATGAATAAGGATGACAGAAAAAGAATTTATTCCTTTGAACTATGGTGTTGGAAGAGTCGGCCTAAAGAACAAATAGATATGTCTTAGAGAAGGTGCAGCCAGAGTGCTCCTTGGAGGCAAAGATAATAAAGCTTCATCTCACATACCTTGGGCATGTCGCTATTCTTTGGAGAGACATGATGCTTGGAAAAATGGAGAGTCAGTTGAAAGAGGAAGACCCTCAACTAGATAGAGTGACACAGTGTCTGCAGCAATGGGCTCAAGTGTAGCAGAGATGATGAGGGTGTTGTCGGGTGGGAAAGGAGTCAGATCTATTGTTCATAGGGTTGCTGTGAGTTGTACTCAACTCGAAGGTACCTAACAACAACAACTCACATGGTCCATCTTTGGCTGAGAGCTGAGCCACAGAGGTGAGCTCAGATTCCGGATGGAGGGTGTTAGATTAAGGGTCTTGGGTTCCATCAGCCTGCAGCAGGCCAGTAAGCCTGATCTTTTTGACACATGTGAAACTTGCAGTTTCTTCCCCAGCAGACAAAGAAGAGTGAGATAAAGAGGCAAGCCTTCTCCTTAAAATGTGGACACATGAGTGAAAGCCAATTCCTTGTGATATGGCCACTGGCTGTGTCTTCTTTTCATTCACCTGGGATTCCAGGCCTCCTGTGAGCCAGACCCTGGCTCACCAGCGGGGATCTGGGAACAACAAAGCCCTGTCACTCCTGGCCGTTATCCTCTGCAGTGTTTGAAGTCCTAGCACGCCCAACCACAATGTGTTAATCCGTTAAATTAGTGTAGCAACTCCTTCCCCCACACCTCCTAGGAAGATCACAGGAAATTTGTTAACATTGAATGACTAGACTCTGCCAGAAAAAATCCTGGAAGGGATAATAACCCTTCAGTTCCCAGCGCTGTGCATTAGGCACTGTTGTGTAAGCATTGAACTTGAATGGTCACACAAAACAACACGCTTTTCTGTAGAAGGACATCGTTAAAACTCTATCAGGCTGGTAATGAAAAGGTCAGTGGTTCGAATCCATCAGCTGTTCCTTGGGACAAAGATGAACAGCTTCCTCCCATGAAGATTTATAGCCTTAGAAATCACGGAAGGGTCCCAGTTCGAGTCAGGACAGACTCCACGGTAGTCGTTCTGTGCTGTCAAGTTGACTATGACTCATAGCAACTCTGTGAACAATGGCTCTGAACCTTGCACTATGCTGAACCAACCTCACCATCTCTGATACGCCTGTCCCCATTGCCACAATCACTGTGTCAATCCACCTCATCCAGGGTCGTCTTCTCCTGTGCTGTCCCTCCACATTTCCAAGCAAGATGTCCTTCTCCAAGGACTGGGCTGTCCTGGCAACATGCTCAAAGTATATGAGACAGAACTTCAAAATCCTTGCATCCAAGGAACAATTTGATTTCACCCTCTCCAGAACAGACCTGTTTGTTCTCTTGGCAGTCCATGGTATGTTCAATACTCTACTCCAGCACTGCCATCATTAGTCATTGTCCAGTTTTCAAATGCATACCAAATAATTGTAGAGATCATGTCCCAGATCAGGTGCACCTTAGTCTCTAAACTGACATCATTGCTCTTCAATACTCTGGAGACGACCCCGACAGCTGACTTTCCCAGTGCAATTTGTTTTTTTATTTCCTGTCTGACCTGCTACTCCTGGGAAGAGAGATGTGCAATCTCCTCCTGTGTTATTTATAGCCTCTGAAAAATCTGATGCAGGGTCATGTATGAGTAGTCTCTGTCCTGAGCACATATAACAAAACGATAGCTTCACCAGCAGCACAAGTCACTTCAATGAAAAGGCATTATTTCTTCTCAGTCATTCTTATTCATTGTCCACCTTTGACATGACCATGAAGTGCTGAAAAATACCATGACATGGGTCAGGTGCACCTCGGTTTTAACACTAACATCCTGCTTGTGCACCTCGGTTTTAACACTAACATCCTGCTTTTGGGCACCTTAGATAAGTCTTTGACAGCACATTTGGCCAGTGTAAATACGTCTTTTCATTTCTTCACTCCTGTTTCCGTGGGTGGTGTTTGTGGATCCAAAGGGGGAGATGTGAAATGTCTGCCCTGGTGAATGTTCCTGTCTCAAGCTCCCAACTGACTTCATTTTACTAACGTTTCCTGAGAACTTACTATGTTGTTAGCCTAAGGGCAAGTTTAAGTGATGCTTCAGATGTGCAGGACTTTCTGGAGCCATGGAGGCTGGACCAACCCCTCAAGCTCTTGCCCCGAGATAATCTTTAAACTTTAAATTAAAAATATCCCCTGAAGTCTTCTTAAGACCAAACAACAGTTTAGCTTAGATGGTAAAGATCATCTGCCTGAGTATTGCTGCTACTGCTGTTAGGTGCTGTTGAGTTGAAGAGCAGATCTGAACCCTGTCCCGTCCTGTGCCATCTTCACATTTCCTGACACACTAAAGCCCATTGCAGCAGTCACAGATCAATCAAACTGATTGAGGGTCTTCCTCTCCTTTGCCAACCCTCTATACTTCCAAGCATCGTGTCCTTCTCCAAGGAATAGCCCTTTCTAGCAGCATGCCTAAAATATAAGGCAAAGCCTCATCATCCTTGCCTCCAGGGGTGGGGGCACTCTGGCTGCACCCTTTCTAAGACATATCTGTTTGTTCTTTTGGCTGTCCATGGGATGTTCAGTGCCCTTCCTGAATGCCACAGATCAAAAGCATCAATTCTTCTGTCATTTTTATTCATTGTCCAGTTCCCAAATGTATAGCAAGTGATCGGAAAGACCATGGCCTGAATCAGACACACCCTAGTCCTTAAACTGACATCATTACTCTTCAATAATTTGGAGAGGTCCTTAACTGCAGACTTTCCCAATGCAATGTTGTTGTTGTTATTGATTGCCTTCGAGTTGAGCATGACTCATAACAACCCTACGAAAAAAAGGCCTGAAGCCCCGCTACAACTACTGACATTTATCAAAGTTCATAGAGTTTCTGGAGGCATGCTGTTTAGGAAGTGGATGCCACTCCTGCTTCCAAACCTGTCATAGAGTGCTATTGGTTGAGTCACCTGCGATGCATAGTGACCCTGCGTTCAGCAGCTCTGAACCTTTCCCTGTCCAGAGCCAATTTGCTAATTCCGACACATTGACCCCTGTCGCCCCAGTCCCAATGCAATACGTCTCCTGATTTCCTGACTGCTGGTACCAAGGGTGTCAATTGTGGATCCAAGTAAGATGAAGTTGTTGCATTATACTCTTACGAATTATCTGACAAAAAAACCTAAACCCACTTGCACCAGGCCAATTCTAACTTGTAGTAATCCTACAGGACACCTGCACCATGCACATCCCAAGTCTGCACACCTGTACGGACGTAGCCTGCCTTACCTTTCCTTCATGGTTGGCTAATAAGCTTGAACCTCCAGCCTTGCAATGAGCAGCCCAAGTGCTTTATCTGAAAGCACCCTCACAGCTCCTTCACCCACTACTGTGGCGTTAATTCAGATTCATAGCGACGTTCTGTGAGAAATAGAATTCAACAAAGACTAAGGTAATGAATCAGGATTTGAGCCAAAGGAAACAAACATTCTATATAATGATTTATTCGTTGTGAATACCTTTTATAAGAAACACAAATGGTGATTATACACAAAGACCTCACCTGATGCTCGATACAAGGATCAGATTGACTACATCTGTGGAAAGAATCATTGGAGAAGCTCAGTATCAGCTGTGAAAACTAATCAGGTGCTGACTGTGGAACAGACCATCAACTACTCATATGCAAATTCAAACTGAAGTTAAATGAAGACAAGTAAATCCACAAGAACCAAAATTTGACCTTGAGTCTATTGTACCTAAGTTTAAAAGCCATCTCAAGAACAGGTTTGAGGACTCGAATACTAATAAGTGAAGACCAGGTAAGCTGTGGGAAGACATCACAGCTGTGTGAAGAATACCACCAATTAATAGAATGCAAAAGGTCATTACAGAGGAGGAAGAAAAGACCGAGAGGGATGTCAGAAGAGACGGTGAATATTGCATGAGAGTAAGGGGCTGAGCAGAAGACTTACAAGGGCAGGCTGGGAAGACAAAGCAAAATATTATAATGAAATGTGCAAAGACCTGGAGTCAGAAACTCAAAAGGGATGTATTTGCTCCACATTTCTTAAGAGGAAGGAACTGAAGAACAAATTCAAGCCTTGAGTTGCAATACTTAAAGTTGCTATTGATTGATCCAGGAAGCATCAAAAGAAGATGGAAGGAGTACACAGAGTCACTGTACCAAGAAGAATTGGTTGACGCAGAAGAATTTCATGTAACAAACTTTTCACTGACATGAAAACCCACAGCGCCCCCAGAATATGTACACAAACAGGATAAGGAGGAAGGGAGAAAATGGGGGGACGTAGAGAAGAGATTGAGCTGAGGTGGCATCTGGGAAAGATTGTGTGGCCCCATAAGTGCTCAGCCCATGAAGAATTGGGGAGGGGACTCTCTAGATAAGGAGGTAAGTTCTTTCGGAGGGCTGCCAAAAGCCTTTTCTTTGTCTGGCTTGAGCCCCTGATTTTGCAAAAATTGCTTAATAATTAGCCTCACTCTCACTCAATGGAGTTTGGATTGGATTTCTTGAGCTCTTATCAGGTTCATACTCTGGATAACTTACCAGCAGGCTCACGCAGGATAAGGCAGCCCATTTCCCAGCTCTCCTTTCAGGAGATCCGTCGAGGACGATCCTGGTCAGCGGTTTGGTTGTACTGACCTGCCAGTTGCCAAGAGGAGCTGAGACAGTGCCCGGGGCAACACAGGTGTTTCTGACACCTTCCAGGGGGCTTCTGAGCACACACTGTCCATCTCTCTTCTGCAGAGTGGCCGATGGACTCAAACCACTGACCTTATAGTTAGCAGTAAAACTGACACCAGCAGGGCTTTTTAAGGAGCTGTCAACTTGAAAGATTAGAGGGGACGCTTGAGGGGCAGTCTGTTTATGCAGATGGGGAAAGGTTGAGAGGATGGGAAAAGGTGAGAGATAGTGGTGGCACAGTTAAAACACGTGATGAAGGTCATCTGAAAGTCCCTGTAGTAAAATGCCCAAGCGACATTGTGCATTTTTTTCAACAATCAATGGAGATCTGCTCTCTGAAGTCACACACAGCACAGTACATGCTGCCTGTGTGTAAGCAGCAAACTCCTACCTACATCCATGGGGGTTAAAAATCATGGTGGACCGAAGACAGCCTTTGGAGAGACCAACATGGAAAAGAATTACATCATGGGAGATAAGTTGGGATGTTAGGGGGTGCAAGTGGCACCTCTTTTTCTCTTTTTTCCCCCCAGTTACTACATAAGAGAGTGGTGGATGAGGACCCCAACATAGTCCCCGGATGCTGGCTTGACCCATAGTCCCCATTGTGTGGGGCTAAATTAGGGTTGTTGTAGTTGTTATGTGCTGTCGAGTCACCTGTGACCCATAGCAACCCTACGTACAGCAGCTCTGAACCCTGCCTTGTCCTGAGCCAGTCTTACTGATTCAGACACACCTACTCCCACTGCAACAGTTAGTGTATAAATCCATCTTTTAGGAGGCCTTCCTCTCCTGTGCTGTTCCTCCACCCTTTCGAACATAATGTCCTTCTCCAAGGACCAGTCCCTCCTGGCCATGTGCCCAAAGTATGTGAGACAGAGCTTCAAAATTCTAGCCTCCAAGGAGAAACTTGGTTTCACCCTCTCCAAGACAGACTTATTTGTTTTCTTGGTGGTCTATGGTAGTGGTATGTTCAAGACTCTTCTCCAGCATCACAACTCGAAGGCATCAATTCTTCTTCTTTCTGTCATCTTTAGTCTCTGTCCAGCTCTCTGATGCATAACAAGTAATTGCGAAGACCATAAGTCGGGCTAAAAGAGGCAGAACTCATGTTAGCCAATGAGAAGAAAGGGTCAAATAGGGTGGCTGGACCAGGCCCTACCCAGTACAAGCCAGGGAACATGACTCTGTCGTGTGTCGTGTTCCAAGCACATGAATGGTGCCAATAACCAGAGCCTGAATCCAACCTCCGCCCAGTCTCTGGAAACCCCGCCCATGCCTTTTCTCACACCTTCCTATCTCAGGAGACACGGTCCATGCCGTTCTCAAGGACATACCTCTTCTAATGAAGCTGTCCTTGTTTGCACCCCCATTTCTATCTCCTCACCTCTCCTCTTAACCACAAACTCCAACAAAGGCTCAGTCCATATCAGGATTGTTAGCAAGCATGACAGAACCAGGGGGAACTGCGCATGGCAGATCTTTCTGCTGTCTTCCACTTGGCTCGGTAAGGAAAGACTGAACTGAGGTCTTCACTGCATTCATCCTGCTTGATCAAACAGAAGAATCAGTTCAGACATGGAACCACCGGAGGACTGTCCATCTTAACAGGAGCAGACGACTTCATCTTCCTCCTGTAATGTGGTCCACAGGTTCATACCTCTGACCTTTGGCACCATTACGCCCCCAGGGCTCTTGGCATTGGCTAGTACAGGCCTCAACAGTGCCCTGGTGATGTAATACGTTATGTGTTGGGCTGTTAACTTGAAAGGTTGACTGACTGAGTACATTAAATGCTCCTCAGGAAAAAGATGGGAAGTCCGCTCTGGCGAAGATCTAGAGTCTCGGAGGCACGATGGTGGGCTGCTTTGCGTTAGGATCAGCTCGAGGGCAGTAGGGGGGTGGAGATCTTGAAAAGGGGGTGCTGAGCTGAGCGTGCTCCATTCACAGTGGCCGGAGGGAAGCTGGTTACGCGGGTTATGGATTGACAGTGTTCCCCAAAGTGTGCTGAATTCCTGGCCCCTGGATGTGTGGATGGGGAGCCCTGCTGGCATAGTGGGTACCATGTTGTGCTGCTATCAGAAGTCAGTGGTTCTAATCCACCAACTGCTTCATGGGAGAAAGGAGGGCAGTCTCCGCCCATAAAGATTTACAGCATCAGAAATGTGGAGGGTCGCTCATTATGAGTTCACATGGACTCGGTGGCACTGGGGCTTGGGGTGTCTATGGTTGAGCTCTGGTGATGTGGTGGTTAAAAGCTCAGTGGCTAACCAAAAGGTCATTGGTTTGAGTCCATCGGCCTGTCTATGGGAGAATGATGTGGCTGTCCTCTTCTGTGGAGATCAGAGATGGGAAACACTGGGGGCAGGGCTACTCTGCCCTGAAGGATTGCTCCGAGTCAACTGACTTGATGACAGGAGGGTTTGCTTTCTGTCACTTTAACGACATGTGGAAATACGGTTTTCTTATTAGGTTGAAGTCATAGGGGTGAATGGCAGATTGTCAACCTCATAATTTCGGTGTTACATAAAGACCCAGATAGACATGCTCAGAGGAGAACAGATCCAAGTGGTGATGGTCCACAGACTAAGGAACGTCAGGGCTGTTGAGGAAGCAATGGTATGCCTGAAACCCTGACTTGGACTGTCAGCCTCCAGGGGTCCAAGACAGTGGGCGTTAGGTATTTAAAGCTGCTCCTGGGCTTTGTTTTATTTTCATCTGAGTGACAACAGCACCAGGTCATTGAGATACTGTGTTTTTACAACTTTCTCTCTGGGGGAGTGGAATGAAAATCCCCTTTGTGTCTCTCCAGATTGTGGTAGGATTGGGAAAGAAGTTTCTCGTTGGCAAAGCTGCTGAATTATGACTAACTTATAATCAGGCTGGTAACACAGTCAATTAATATCAACGGGTTCTTTATCAACATCAGTAACAATACTGACACCAACAACAACTTGACAGCACAAAACAACAAGCAACAGTAACAACACCCATAGCACCGTTACAACAGCATCACAACAAAGTACATCACCAGCAACATCATGGCAACAATGTCAGCAACAATACCAGTAACATCAACAATACCCAAAGCCAAGCTCTGAGACTCCTCCAACTCCTACGGACTCTATGTTGTTGTTGTTAGGTGCTGTCAAGTTGAGAATGACTCATCAGGACCCTATGACAGCCGACCTGAACCCTGTCCTATCCTGTGCCGTACTCATCGTCTCGGACACACTAGAGCTCATTGCTGAAGTCATCGTGTCAATCCATCTCTCTAGGGCTCTTCCTTTTTTGGTGTTTTTGTTTGTTTTTTTTTTGCTGACCTTCCATCTTCTCAGCATGGTGCTGCTTTTCAAGGAATAGCCTCATCTAACTGTTATTGTTATGTGCTGTCCAGTCATCTGTGTCTTAAACTCTGCCCTATCCTGTGCCAATCTCACTATCTCTGACACACCTGCCCCCATTACCCCAGTCACGTAATCAATCCACCTCACAGAGAGTCTTCCCCTCCTGTGCATGACATCCTTCACCCTCCCAAGCATGACATCCCTCTCCAAGGACCAATCCCTCCTTGAAACATGTCCAAAGTATGTCAGACAAAGCCTCAGAATCTTTACTTCCTAGAAGCAGCCTGGCTTCACCCTCTCCAGGACAAACCTGTTTATTTTCTTAGCAGTCCATGGTATATTCAACACTCTTCTCCAACACCACAGCTCAAAGGCATCAATTCTCCTTCTATCATCCCTAGTCACTGTCCAACTCTCTGATGCGTAGCAAGAAGTTGCAAAGACCATGGCATTTTTCAGGAGCACCTTAGTCTCCAGACTAACATCATTCCACTTCAGTACTTTAGAAAGGTCTCTAACCACAGACTTTCCCATCACAATGCGTCTTTTAATTTCCTGGCTGCTGGTGCCAAGACTGTTTACTGTGGAGCCAAGCAAACCAGAACTATGAACAATCTCAATCTCTTCACCATTCATTATGATGCTGCCAATTGGCCCAATGGTGAGAATCCTTGTTTTCTTGATATTGAGCCTCAAACAATACTGAAGACTGAAGTCTCTGACCTTCCACTGCAAGTGCTTCAGGTCCTCCTCAGTTTCAGCAAGCAGGGTTGTGTCATCTGTGTAACGTGGATTGTTGCTGATTCTTCCTCCAATCCTAATGCCACATTTTCCTCATACAGCCAGCCTCCCTCATAATCTATTCTGCTTAAAGATTGAAAAGGCATGGAGACAGGATTCAGCCCTGGAATACACCCTTCCCAATTTTGAACCATGCAGTGTTTCCTTGTCTGTTCTGATGACTGTCTCCTGGTCCAAGTATAGGTTTTGCATTAGCACAATCAAGTGTTCTGGGAATCCCATTCTTCTCATAGTCAGCCACAGTTTGTTATGATCCACACAGTCAAACGCCTTTGCTAATCAATGAAACAGATAGACATTCCTCTGGTATTCCTTGCTTTCAGCTAAGATCCATCTAACATTAGCTGCAATATCCCTAGTACCACGACCCTGTCTAAACCCAGCCTGCACTTCTGGTAGTTCTTTGTTGATGTGCTGTTCCAGTCGTTTCTGGATAATCTTCAGCAGAATCTTGCTCTCACGTGATATTAATTATATTGTTCGATAATTTCCACACTCTGTGGGACCTTTCTTTGGAATGGGAACAAATATAGAACTCTTCCAGTCAGTTGGCCAAGTGGTTGTTCTCCAGATTTCTTGGCACAATTTGGTGAGCACATCTAGGGCAGCATCTGTTAGTTGAAATATGTCAATTGGTATACCGTCTATTCCTGGAGTCTTATTCTTTGCTAATTCTTTCAAAGCAGTCTGAACTTCTTCCTTCATCACCATAGGCTCTCACTCATATGTTGTTTCATTAATTTCTACCAACTTTTGCAGTCAGAGATTGATCAAACATGCAATCAAGATGCATTAATAGTGATGGGTGACTTGAATGCAAACGTTGGGAACAGAGAAGAAGGATGAGTAGTTGGAAGGCATGGACTTGGTGACAGAAATGAAGCTGGAGATAGGATGATAGAATTTTGCACAATCAAAAATTTATTTGTTGCAAATACATTTTACAAGAAACATAAACTCAGGCTATACACATGGATTTCACCTGATGGTATTCATTGGAATCAGACACATTACATCTGTGGAAAGAACTTCTGGAGAAGCTCCGTATCAGCTGTGAAAACTAGGCCAAGTGCTGATTGTGAAACATTCTACCAACTACTCATATGCAAGTTTAAGCTGAAGCTGAGGAAAGTGAAATGAAGACCACAGGAACCAAAATATGACCTTGAGTCTATCCCACCTGAATTTCAGAACCATCTCAGGAACAGGTTTGAGGCCTTGAACACTAATGAGCGAAGATCAGAT